TTGGTAACAGATTTAAACGCCAAAGCTTCAGTGACTTTGGTAGTAACAATAATCAAAATGACCAGTTTGGTGATTCATATAACAGAAACCCTGCGAACAGAGATCGATATAATCAAGATCCTTACAATCGCGATCAATACAACCGGGATAGTAACCAGGATCCGTTTGCCAAAGATCCTTACTCGATTGACAGAGATAGATATGGTGTAAATGTTGATCCTTATGGTACCAATATAAATTATAACCGTGAAGATGAAACTTACCACGATAATCGCATTAACAATACTCGTGATAATTTCGATCGCAACCGGCCCAATATTAGTTTTTATGAATCTTTTAATTTGTTCGAGTCGTCTCCCAAGTACGGACCTCATGCAAATTTGCTCTTTCAAGTATGACAGTATATTTTTTAAAGCAACCCTAATATAGCATTTTTAGGATACTACAAGAAACTTTGCAGCTTTGTCTGATAATCAGCAAACATTTACGGGATTTCTAGCCGAGGCGCTGGATGTGATTATGGGTATCCGACAATGTCCAGTTGACCATATGACATTGTGTGTTACTTCCGATCAAGAATTGGAAAAATGTGTTAAAATGAAAGTAAGTCTCTATACAGAGTGTTAATAAATACTGGACGCAACTGCACCAAAATGCTCTGGAAGAAAATTACTGTGATTACCACTGTGTATGTTTCTTTGTCAATCAAATGTACCTTTCAGGGAGTTTCATAAAAATTGCATACCCTGAAACTCAGTCGCACATGAGCAGTAACACCCTGTGCGTTAATACAGAAATTTGATACATAAAAACGTTATTTTCCAGACTGCACTAAAGGCTCAATTGGTCAAACCAGAAATGCGATGCGAAAAAGCGCACTCACAAATAAATTGTATGCAAAAAATTCAGGCGGGCAGCGCTGATGTTGCCGTTTTGGACGCCAGCGACGTATATACGGCAGGATTAAATTACGACCTAATTCCATTTATAAGTGAGATTTACAATTTGGGCGAACCTGAGTATTATGTAGTTGCAGTTGCAAAAGAGGAAGATCCCAGTACTGAACTGACATATTTACGAGGTTTGTGATCTTAGATTTGTCACTTAATTATGGTTTTGTTGATTTTAGGGAAAAATACTTGCCATGGTGGTATTCATTCGGCAGCTGGGTGGGTGTATCCGCTTGCCTATCTTATAAGTAATGGTTGGATTAGGCCGTATGGATGTAACAGTATTAGAGCGGCAGCTGAATATTTCACCAAAAGTTGTGTACCTGGTGCTTTGAGTACAGAATACAATACAGGTGTACCTTATGAAAACTTGTGTGATTTGTGTCATGGCGCAAGTTTTAGGTAAGTACTTAAAAAAATTCTTAATCTTCGTCCCTGTATACTTATTATACTTAGGTACAATATGTAATAAGCGAGGTAATAAGGGGCGATAAAAAAATGAGTTGCTGTCCAGTCGCCTCTGGAAGTTCAAGTTAAGTAGGTACGGTTTACCAGGTAAACAAAAATTCCAAAAGTGACTCGACATCAACTCATTTTTGATCACATAGTAGTTGACGTCATTTATTAATTTAAAAATAGTAACTTTCACTTCTTGCGAAAAAGATGCGCGCCAAATTTTTGAGCCCACGACAAAAGTCATCCCTAAGACTGGTACAAAGAGAGGGGTTTATTCAATCTTCTTACAAATATTTTAGATTCTGTCGAAGAGACGCAGCAGAAGATTACTATGGTCATACAGGCGCCTTCAGATGTCTGGTAGAAGGTGGCGGTCACGTGGCCTTTGTAAAGCACACTACAGTAATGGAAAATACAGGCGGCGAAAGGCGCGAGTGGTGGGCGAGAGATAACTTGATGGACGACTTTGAATTACTTTGTCCCGATGGTATTTACAAATTTCAGCCTTTGCTCGTGTACAACATTATCATTTTAGCAACTCGTGCGGAGGTTCAAGATTACAAGAAGTGTAACTTGGGAAAAGTAAAGTCAAACGCCATTGTAACGAGAGGCGGAGATCAATTCAAGGAACTAGAAATAAATGCTTTCATTAATCTGTTCATGTACTCGCAAACGTACTACGGCAGAAAGACTACAGATGAGTTTAGTTTCAGTATGTTTTCGTCACCGCCCCCTTTTACGGATTTGATATTTCAAGATGCCACTCAACAATTGAAAGTCATTGAACCTAATGAGCGGTACTATTCCACCTATTTAGGCCCTGACTATATGAGAGCGCGACGTATAGTCGATTGTCGATCTACCTCTAGCAAAGTTCCACTGCCGTTTTACTCACTCTTAGGACTCTTAGTAGTCATCTACTTCCAAAGATAAAATTTAGATCTGTAGGAACTTTGTACAAATTAACATCATGCTCTTTAAAAGCATTAAATGCTGTGCCTTGACAATTCATTTTTAAAAAATACTTGTGTAGAGGAAAATTAAAAATAAGAATGTGGTTTTAATTCCAAATTGTAAAAATTTGTCAATTTTAGATGGTTTGATGTGGACATTTTTAAGTATGGTGTACAATTGATATAACTGCAAGCATTTAACTATCGAGTGAAAGTAATTCTTAGATGTAGATTAAGAAACCTTAGGTATTAGATTGTATGATAATTGATCCGTCCGTGAAATTTGAAACGTCCATTTTCATTTGTTACGAATTTTATATATTTTTTAAATAAACAATTTTTATATATTTTAGACTATTGTTATACATGAGTATAAGAAAATCTAAGCATTTTTAGACAATAATTAACCCTACTGTCACTATAATTTACTACTTTTTTTTCAATGAAATTGGTTTGAAGTACAACCGGTACAACTGAGAATTATTCACATAATTTTATTTATGTATAAGTTTATGTCATATTTTTCTGTGGGCAGAGTTTAGGACAAACTAAACTTTGTGCAAGTTTTAAAGTTATTTCAATTTACTATTTTGGCGGATAATGATAAATGGATAAATAAATGTGAAATAAAAATGGATAAATAAAAACACCAGAAGGATTTCGCCATGCGTAAAGTGAATAGGACTGGTCTTGCTGTGATTAATAATTGAGTGATTATTTTTACACCACATACAACATCTATCAAAAATGAGTTTAGTTTTATTTGCCTAAGATTCTTTACTTCCAGCAAAGATCATGATCTTTCCAAATTTAATTATGATGTTACCATCATCCACGTAACATGTTACAAATATTTCGTCATTACATTTACCAGAAATAAAAGATGGAACATCGTTCACAAATACGACAAACAAGTTGGGACCCAGAATAGAACCCTGTGGAACACCAGATGTGTCACACAAGTACTTCTTTCCCCCGATGGCATTTCTACAATTTGAGTTCTATTTAATAGATATGATTGAAATAAACTTAGAACATTCCCACGGGCACCATATCTGTACAGTTTTTCTAGTAGTGAGTTGCGATTCACCGTGTCAAAAGCTAATTTAAAAAAAAAAAGTGTAAATAAGAACGTTGGCTTTGCGCATGCGCACATCTGATTTTTATAATATGTGACATGCTGGCCGTTACTAGAAGCATTGTATATGTTAGAAGTATCTGTGGTTAAAATTTCAAAAAAATATCTCGACAAATAAGAAAAGAAACGCCCATTAATCGTCAAATGTTTTTCTTCGTTGACGTACCAGAGCTGTATGTAAACTACCAAATGCAACCAATTAAATATATTGAAAAGTGTAGGAGTAGACAGAGAAAGTGGCCATAATAGCGCCTTCCAACATAAATTGAAAAATGCACTAAAAACAAATCTCGCATTCTGCAGAATATTTCCATTTCCTTCCAATCACTAGGGATGTGGCCGATTCGCAATTGTTTAGTCGCCTCTTACGACACGCAGTGCTTTCTGCGGTAGAGGTATTCTTTCCCACCCCTACACGGGTGATAAATAATTAATACAAAAAATACGAATACATCAGCGTCTTCCACATCAACTTTACAACATATAGAACATTAGAGATAGTTGGTTTATTTTCAATTTTTCTTAAAATATAGTCTAATCGAACGTATCAATGTTCATACAGATGTACTTCATTGACAAAAGTAATGATCGCCAAATAGGTAAATCCTACAGCATACACAACCAACATTTGTACATATTGTGCAATTTGGAAATGCGAACCATCAAATTAGGGTATCTCCTCCTGCAAGAAACCGACGGAGCCCGATTTGATAGGCATATTGGTAGCTTTGGGCTGTAGAGTTTGCCTATTAGACGGTCATTATACTTTGGCAGACTGTACACGTACTAAAAAAATGTGATGGAAAACTGATTTCGCTTTTTATTCAAAGGAATATTCTTTCTTCTATCTTTAGTAAGTACCACTTCATTATACTAAAGTTAAACAACATTCGATTTTTTGAAAATCCGTATTTGGCCACTTCTTTTGATAACAAAACAATATGACAAACCCGATCACCATAGTTTCATAGTTATTGATCAATCAAATAAACAAATTTTAAACAAACTACCTATGCTTTGTCTTCCAAACTGGGTGATTGCCAGAGCGATCTCAATTTTTTACAGATGGTAGTGGAACCCTAAGACAACCATTTACAAAAATTGTCGGACTGTGTTTTGTTAGTTAACTAACAAATGGAATACCTCCCGAAATATAACAAGAAAGGTAACTATATAATATGCCTGTGGCACTCTGATTAATAAAAAGAATATATTTTGGTCAAATAGAAGCATAAAAAAAGTTCACGCTTTAAAGAATCCTTCAAGGGGTTGATAACGAGGAAATTCTTGTCCCTCATATAGGAAATTTTGAGGAATTAGATGGGAAATATGGACGAAATTCTAGAGAAATTCGGAGAAATTTGGGGAATAAAAAGTTATCAATGATGTGTCGAAGCCAAGGATTGGTGGAATGACAAATAAAGATTATTATTATCAAATGTTCGCGATTTTATTATCAAAGTTTTCATTTGGTCTACAACTTATTTTCTCAAAAAACAATCATTTAAAATTGGTACCGCAGCGCCTGAAAGTCATATGACCTGAGTCGACAGACAATCGATTTTAGCATACTCGGATAGACCAAAGTGGAACTCTGTCGATTAAAATTTTGATCACTTTCGTTCAATGGATTTCGAGCTAGCTCCCCTACTATATTTTTTACACAATTTGTATTTTTAATTAAATTTACAGAACTTAAGAATTTACAAAAGTTAATTACCAAACATAGCAGTTTATGAGAGTAAAATTAATTGTTTACAGTCACTAACTTGTAAAAGCTAACAATTTTAAAAAATATTTATGCGGACACCTGATTTTTACAGTATGTGATATGCTAGTCTTTACTAGAAGCATGTGGTTAAATTTTCAAAAAAATCTGCATAAATACATAACAGAGTTGAAAGGGCGCACATCTCTATTTAAATTAGAAAGAAACAGACAGAAATATTATTTACATTAATTTTATGTAAGGGTAGTATTAACTTAATTTTTTTGGCAACCATTTGCAATGTGTTTGTTTACATATTAAAATTGCTAAAAAATGTATTTCACTATGTAAACAGATAAGCGAAAGTTGACCTTATGTGGGATGTTGTATTGCAGAGTAAAAACTTGTTAATATTAGCAGTTATGTGTTCTTCTAGAACAGCTAATCCTACTAACATTCAGGGTGGCTCAACACTTGTCAGCTAACTTTATTTTCTTTCCCTATGGTCTGCCAAGTGAAGTATAAGATTTGGGAGGCGGGGTCCCTATTCAAAACAAATGGACTTATCGTATTCATGCAAATTTAAGTTGAATACCCTAAACAATTTACATTTTTTGTTTTTTTTTATTGGTTTTGGTTATCACATAGGTAAATAAACTTTAAAATTTGGACAGGTTTTTTACAGGTCATGCTAAACTAAAGACTTCAATTAGACATACAATATAGCACAAGCACAAGCAAGATTTATATCAGGCCGAATTTTTTTTACCCTGTACTATGAATCTGACATGATGCTCCAGTGTTTGGTCTAATCAGTCAGGTTAGAAAAATGGAAAAGAAAACACTCACTCTACGCACTAATCTCTAATAACAATTATATTAAAAGATAAAAAATGTACAATAGGATCTTAATCTAATAAAATTCAAAAACATAACCAAAGTTATAGTCAAATGCTCACTTATTGCACCTATACTTACATAAGTTTTAAATTTGCAAATCTACATTTTTCATACCAAAACGGAATGTTTTTTTTTTAAATAATCGCGCCAAACAAATTTGGAATGTCCTATAATGTGCCAGTACATTATGCGTCGGTTGTTTATAAAATTCGTTAAGCCTCTATGTATAAATATTAATTCTGTAAATAGGTATAAGAATTATAATAAGTAGGTTAAAAAGAGTTACAAAAGGGGATCAGTACAAAAATTGGTAAAACTATTGCGGTATAATTGGCGGGGCACCGATTCCTCCTGCAAGATCGTACACTTTTTGTGCCACCTCAGCGGCTAATTTCTCACATTCCTCACGAGTCTCAGCTTCAGCATAAATTCGCACAATATCTTCAGTACCTGACGGCCTTACAAATGACCTTCCTTTACTGTACTTTTCTACTAATGAGTCGATTTCCTCTTGTAGGCCTTCTGGTGTGACACACACTCTTTCTGCGTCCTTTGTAGTGAGTACACTTCGATCCTAACAAATTTCTGTTATTACAAAGACAACGAATTACTAAATACCTACCTGAACGGTCACTTTAAGAAGTTTATTCGGTAAATCTGTGTACGTCTGTTCCCATTGCTGTATATTCCAACCCTTTGCATTGAGAATAGTTTCCACCAACAACATATCCGAAATGGCGTCACCTACAGTTTCATTGATTACATCAATTAAAGCTAGCAGTTTAGCAGCAGCTTCTTGTTGTTCCTCTGATAATCTGCAAAAATCTGCATTAGGTAATTGTACAGTCAATCCAGTTTTTACTTATTATTTTTGGCCGCTTCGTTTAATTTATCCTTTGCATTTTTGCTGAAGATCACGGTGCCATGACCGTTCGCTTCAAAATAGACGCCAATATCATATTCTAGTGCTTTGTGGTGTAAATGCTTAACCCCGGTGGAAACACAAGCAACTGGTACTTTCTGCAGAGATAAAAAATTCATACAACTTCGTTAGCTTGGATTAGTACACTATATGCAAAGAGCAATTACTATAAAGAGATCCAACATGTAGGTCTTGCCTTTGTTGTATATTATGAAACTAAAACCAGTAATTGTAAGGTTAATTATGGGGATCTCTCAGTAGAGCTCTACTTCATTACATTTTATGGGGAGGTTTTGGATTTTCACTTAGATCTCTCCCTATTTAAACAAAAAAAATGTATATCATTAATGTATGAAAATACCCAGTTCCAGTACCCGATTGCTGTTATGTATTAGCTCCAAATGTGCTAGATTCTATAATTTCGCGGGTACTGTCCCCTATTAATTGGTTTCATATTATCAACTACTAACGTGCCAGCATATATTTGTATATGAGTGAATCTCTTTATATTTAGTACTCTGATTTAAGCCTACCAAAGTCTTAGTAATATAATCCGTAGAGGCACCGTTAGCGTAGGCAGTTTGAATTAATCCTAAATTGAGATCAATACCACAGGTCGAAACCAATTCCTTAAGATACTCAGCTACCAAAGTGGCTATTCTGTCACCATCTAATAAATGGAATTTATTATTTTCATCATTATAGTAATAAACCACCCTGTCCGCATCTCCATCGACCGACACACAGCGTTGATTTGGTATATTAGGTACACCAGTAGGGAATAGCTGCTGCGACTTAACATGATCAGCACCGCACTAATTAAAAGATTATTTAATTATATACATCCCACTAAAAGATATTTACCAAATAATTTAATTTCCCAGTCCCTATACCGGCGTCATTGTAAAGCTCAATCTCCAAGCAGTCGCCCAATCGCTTCATAAAATATTTGATTTTCTTTGCACCAACCCCATTAGCACCATCATACAAAACTTTATTCACATAATTCTTGTTATTAAAGTTATCACCCCTCAGTTTCTTAAATGCGCTCACTAATTTAGTGTAATATCCTTCTTCTGTACCGATTCCATATGCATTCTGGGTATTTCTGCACTTCACAAAGTAATGCATCTGCGGTGTGGTTACGATACCAAAGTCAATTGGTTTACCAGACAGAGCCAAGACGCCGTCGATGACGGATTTGGCTAAACTCGGGCTGCTGGGCCTATGGAGTGTGAATGATGGATGGCTAAGTTGCAACTTCAAGTATTAGCACTTACCTTGTATCTTTTCCTATTAAAATGTTAACCCTAACTGACATGTCAATGTTATACTGTTGAACAATTTCCTTAATTGTTCCCTCCAATTCGTCATCCCTAAAAGAATATGAATTTTAAATTTACTCACATGCACACAAAAAAATGTGGCAAATTCTTAACAGAACAGCTTCCTACTTCAAACCAAAAATCGCGGATGTGGAAGAGTGCCTTTAAAATTTGGTAAGTGTTGGGAAAAAATGTATCCCACGAAAGTTTATTATTTTCCAATATAGAGTAAGAATATTCAATACAAAGTATTAGGTTTCTATTGGAAAAAGTTAAGTGCCCTACACTTGATCCTTAAAAGGGACAGTTATGTAAAATGTGCATAGCATCATTAAATGGGCCCCTCCTATACATAAATCCGAGCATAAATCACTTTTTTTGGATCAATTAATGTTTTTCATCGAGGATTAAGATCAAAACTGTATGTTTGGGTTTACTTTTTTTTAAACCTTATTTCGGACTGCATCATCAGGGCATTAAGCTGTAAAACAATGCAAAATTAAGAATTGTACACAGGTTTACTTAAATTACTTACATTTGATAACTAGAAGAACCAAAAAACTACATAACATTGACATTTAATATAATCAATTTTAATTAGTCGCATACGAAAAATTGGATAAAATTTTGATTTACATATATTAAATAATCAGTAATTAAATTTCGGTCTTGGGTCACCATACTATGGAATGTCCTATACGACAGGGTGCTGAGACTGATGGTGGGTTGACGCAATCATTATCATTAGTTCACTATCAGTAGATCATTAAGAAATAGCCAATAGAAGCAAAGGTATGGCTTTGTTGGTTAACTATTGGCCATTTCTCAATGATCTGGTCTTTGGCGGCCTTTCCCAGCCATGTTGAGGTGAAGGTGAGAGTAGACGGTATGAAGGAGTTGGAGGTGCAATGATAACTGAGAGACTCGCGGCTTCACACGCGTGAGGGCAGGGTGAAGAGACCACACGGAGAACCCGGGAGCGCCCAATTAGGAGAGTGTAAACAAGTTCTGCCTCCGGGTGTACAGCTAGCGAGAAAGAGCATTTCCAAAGCCATTTATGCGGATCATGGTTTTTTAGTTAGCACTACATATCTATCAGGACAGGATTTTAGTGGGTACTAGATGACCAGGGGATTTGTGCCGCTAGCATTATAAATATTATGTGAACACTTAGGTTTATGAACTATGAGATACACGACTGGTATTATAAAGCATACTTAACTATGTTGTCAGCTAACAATGTTGTTAAGGCATGTGATTGGATGTTTTTTCAAAGAATAACATCTATCTTCGCAAAAACATCCAATCACATGCCTTGACAACATTAGTTAAGTATGCTTTATAATAGTGGCCGTTGGATAATTAAATTAGAAAACAAGTGACAACATACAGGCTGCTTTTTTCTAAAAAAAAGTTTTTATTTCATACACCCCGTGAGTAGTTTGTTCTAATTGTACCCATAAAAATGTGCCAAATGAGGATAAAAACATAAAAAAACCTGTAATAACAAAGATAACAAAGTAGACTTCATTTTAAGCAGACTGTATGCACTATAAGATAAAAGTTGGACTGGAAAAAGTGCTATATTTGGAATACTAATTCCGAATCTCTCTCGGTAAATATTTACTAGCATCAATCAATATATTTTCGAACATTACCCGTGCCAATGTACATTTAATTTGATTATTAATTTATTTTACGCTATACTTTGATAGCAAAGCAATTTTCATGCCAAATTTATAATTCGATTTTAACTTTCCTACCTAAAAGTTATATCACAGAGGTACAGATAAACATGTTCTAAATTAGATTACAAATATAATTTAGACGTGAACAATTTGTAATCTATTTCCCACAACCACCACAAGTTGAAATAAAAACATTTTAATTAAGATTAATGAGAAGAGTCACGAATGCATTCTTGAGGTTTTATTAAAAACTTAGGAATGCATTTCTTCCGAAACTTAGGAAATGCATTTAAGTTATAAAGACAGTACTTTAGAAAATATTGCAAGAAAGTTTTGCATAGTCTGTAAAACCATGGTAACAAAAACATAGTATTGATCATAACTTTGCACATTCCTTTGCCTACCTACATACCATCAGGGAAAAAAATTAGAGTAATAATAAACGGAAAAGCTGAAGCTAATTATTTGCAAACTAGCTCATTAAACTGTACAGTTTATAAATAGCGATATTAAGGTTTGTTAAAGATAGAATCTTAATTAAGAAAACATAACTACTGAGTAAACATGACCATTAATATTATTATGGTTGTCAACTACTAGAATGTGATTTTAAAATATATTACACATAAAATTGCAGATCGACTACTACTTACTGAACGTTCGCTACTCTTGTGGCTAATTCTTCCCAACTTTGCTCCATCATTTCTCCATGCGGATCGATTAATTTCACACCGTTATCACATTCTGGATTGTGCGAAGCGGTTATCATAATTCCGATAACTCCTACAAAGTGAGGTATTAAGATGAGAATTTAATGAATCACATACCTTGCTTGTAACGAGATCTAAGGACAGCCAATAGACCCATTCTGTACATTATGTAACCGAGATTTGAAGCCCTAGAATATTAATTGCCGCTAATTAATACATCTGTTAAGCACATAACCCTAATTTGGGTACACAAAGTAAACATTTGTAAATAAATGAATTCTCACTTCGTGCGAAATCCCGCAGTGCCATAATGGATATCGTGTTTCACTGTCTTGGGGTGCATTTCCCTTGCAAAAGCGTATACCGTTCTGTATGATGTGCTCATGATGAAGGTGTTCGATGGAATGGAATGAATGAACTTTCCTTTCCTCGGGTTGAAGCGAAATGTACGTAGGAATAAGAAAGAGAAAGACTTATATGACTCATACAATATACCCTCGGATTCTTTAATTAATGCAGCAACCTTTCACTTTCTGTGGAAGGTGCCGAAGGCAAACTTTAGGTAGGTAGGGGTAGGTTAAAAACGCGGTTTATTCAAAAAGCGTTAAGACAAAATACGTGCGGTCTTTCTATCTCATAAAACAATCATTCTCAAATGGTAGATACTTAGTTTAAATAAATTCTCTCACACTGGAGTCTTCCGGCAGTCTAATTGAGTTCAATTATTAAATTCAATCACTAAAGTGGGCCTACTGCCTGCATTTTTGGCTTTTCACTTTTTTTTAGATCATAATCACAATTCACAAGGGCTCTGGTAAGTAACGGGGGTCTAAACTCTTTGCCTCTTGAATAAAAGATCTGTTAGACGACAATTTGTGTCGTAATTAAATACGTGCGTGCAAAGATAATTCAACAACATTTAAATTTTACATGTATATGTATCATCTTTATTGTTGCTATCATTGAATTTATAACTAATATCAGCTCAGAAGGTACACAGAGGAATGCAATGAACCTTATGGTGTAGCGACTCCCGCGATCAGAGGTCAAAAATTCTCTTCCTGGGTACAGCCGTAGGGGCTTCCAGTGCTTCTGCTTGTAAACAAAAAATCAAGATTCTATTCGGTCTTTTCACGGTACTAATGCGACACCCCATATGCTAATGTTACTCGCAACCCTCTTTTTTCCTCTAACTCAGGAGTTTCCAAAATTGGGGTCGCGACCCCAAGTGTGGTCGTGGGCCGATTTCTTAGGGTTACGACCTGATGTTTTCATGATAATTGAATTATAGAAAAAAAGTAAATAAATTAGAAAAGGATAAGCAATAAGACGAACAAAGTGCAATTTGGAGGTGGGGCGGAGCGGAGCGATGAGGCGAGAGGAGATTTGTGATCCCGTTGCCTTCATGGACCATCCCATTTTACTGACTCTTTGCCGTTCTCGACAAGCGGCAACATATCTATGTAAACAAGGCTTCTTAATCTTAGTTGCGGTTAAAACCCAAGGCACCGATTGGATCCGCAGCATGATTTGCGATGTGCCTTGACTAAATTTTCACCCCAGAATTGCTGAATTGGTGAATCAGATGAGGCAACACCATGGTAGCAAACAGAAATAAGCGGTGGTCTAAACTAGCTGCTATAATTTTTTTTATTACTTAGTCTTTTTTTTTGCCCTGTTTTTTTTTGTACCTATTACTCTTACCACAGCTCTTACTGTGCTGTGCTGTAGCTAAAATGCATTTACATTTGTTATTTTTTTAGGCAATCGATTTCGGACCAATATTGTGTTTATCATCAGGCCATAGCTACAATGAATTTACATTATACTTACCTAGTTGTTGTTTGTAACATAACGACTAATGTAAATTCATTGTAGCTATGGCCTTGATAATGGACACTATATTGGTCCAATCGTCCTAAAGAAAAATAACAATTAAATATGATCAGCCTGTATAATAATTTAATAAATTATTATATATACATACTTACTTACCCTCAAACTCTTCATTATCTTCTATACGTCCACAAATACGAAGTTTGCTTTTTTTGGCAGGTCTAGATGATTAATTAATTAACGTTTTTAATTATGAGATTGACAGTCTCAAATCGTGTGACATCGGACAGATTCGTTTACCCTGAAATTCACATATCCATGCGGTCCAGAGTGACTAGACACATGACATTTCATCGCCTACATCACAATCCGCGAAAAATATTATCGTTCGCCAAAGCGTCCAAATGCTCCTGACAAATTTCTTTCCCAGTTCTGCTCTGGTGGAAGAGGTTGGAAAATCCATCAAGCAGGGATTTTTTCCAAGCCCAAAGCTTTGTGTATAATCTCGAATATATTGTACTTTCAGACACTCCAGCTTCTTTTGCAAGCATTCATTCCTCGATCAAACAACAGTCAATCTTGAACAAGTCCTATATAGTTTCTTCAGTTCTTGCCTCAACCTGTCTTCCTTGGGTTGTCCCAAACGCCTGGACTGAACTGACTGAAAACTGACAAATAACTGCGTGTCTAGGGAAAGCATTAACACGATAAAATTAAATCGGACCACTAGCAAAAAAACAAATATTCAAAAATCACAATTAAGATCAAAGTGTGTACAATTTAATAAATTTAACAATTATTACGCTTACAAAATAAAAGACAAGATTTCTCTCCAACAAATTTACAAAATAATCTGACCAACACAGTTTGATCTTTCCACCCAGACGGGTGTTATTAAATTTCTCTCTTTCATAAAACATTTAGTTTAAAACATGGACAATAAATAATCAGTAATTCTAATTAAATTACCCTTAACGAAAAATATCAACTGTTGCCAACTACTTACATTCTAGTTTCTTAACTGCTATTTACTATACTAACAATGCTTATTTAAGGAGGGCCCAAACTAGTAATACAATGCAATACTTTACTAAAAAAATTGCTGAAAAGCAAAAATATTTACTCTTTCTCTAAAAATTAAATCTGAATTGGTTATTATTTTCACATTATATTTCCGTTCAAAAATCCGCTTTTCTCTCTCCCAAATAGTGAGAATCCTAGGAAAGGGGTTTTATCAACATTTTTCATAATTGAGAAAAGGCATAGGTATGTACCCCCATATAGGAAAATCTGTTCATCCTGTCACTGTCCTTAGGGGTCTATTCAGTATATTGTCGTTAACAAACGATTTGATCTTGAACGACAGATATATGCCATATAACTGTCATGTTATGTCATACAGAGAAGTAGAAGTGTAGAATCCTTATAGAAACTTAACAACTTTTACAATCTTTAGAACCCCATAACCTTGAACATTAACAATCCCTAGAATCTTCATAGATCCATCTATTTCAAACTAGGTATTGTCGTCATGTCATGTGTCATAAGTGTAATTATAATAGATTAATACTACACAGAAATTTTGATATTTTGGAGGAACTGTAAATTCGCCATGATTGAGGTATTTACATAAAAATGGAACGCAAATACCCTAATGACGTATAACTAATGTAACGACCTCTAGTAACCGGCAGCGAAAGTTTGATATAGAAATGCTTAAGACCAATTCACATTATCGGTCCAGTCAATTATTGTAGCGTATATTTCTATGAATATGTTCTGACCGTGACCTGACCGGCAAATGTGAATATCCCTATTGAAATACAATATTTTGAGCAGAGCTATAGTATGAATTGGCCTTTACTATTACATTACAGACAACAATGTTATGGACATTGGCCAGAGGTACAACACTCTCCCCCACGTTTTGCTTAAAATAATGGCACAAACTATCTATAATCTAACATACTGTCAAATGGTAAAATAGGAGAATGTCACAATAAAAGAAACAATGAATAAATATTTTAAATTTTATTTCTGTTATAACAGTTCCATTACAAATGTCGAACACTGTTATCAAACTTAGATACAACAGGCTTAAGCCTCAAACTATTGTAATAATGTTACTAAACGTATCGTATAAACGAAATATACCCACAAACTAAATCTTTACATGTTGGCCGACAATGTTTATATTAATCAGACATCGAGTTTGACATTAAAAGTCCATAATGAGTTGTTTTATTTTCTCAAATATATACCCATGGCAGTACCTTATTTTAAGTTTGCAGCTAAGGGAAGAGTAATTTACATTTGTATATCGATTTTACAAATACATGTGTACTATAAAAATTGTATGATTTAATTAAACGGATGAACGCAGAGAGAGAATACGTAAAATTAATTCCTCAACGATGATTTATTATACTACTTATGGTTTTGCGTTAATATTGTGAATAAAAGGTGTTCTATACAATTAAATTGGACTGAACTTTCGAATTGGACAGAGCACCTTTGAATGAAGGTGATACCTGTAAATAATTGCACACTACTGCGACACAAAGTGGTTGAAATAAAAAAAATCCTAGGCGAAATTATAATTTAAAATAACTAATAATAAACCACGTGTCGAGCAGTATCAATCACTTTACATGTTCAGTTCGAGTGAAATAAGCAAATACAGTAACCTCACTAATAGTTTAGAATTGTACGCTACATTATAAAATAAAAATTTTAATATTCTAGGTCTGATAATCACATAACATTTTACAACGTAGCGTCTCAAATGCTCCTTTGGTTCTGTATTAATTGAAGGAGACGAGAACGTTAAAATTTTTATAACAATTATGTACTAAACAAACTAAATTGACGTTAAAGTACTCGATTATTTGATCCGAATGAAAATCTTATATAATTCTTATTCTACAGTTCTTATTAAATATAGAACAGCCAGACTTGCAGACACAACTTGCAATTTGCACACTAAATCATACAAACATACATACACGGAGCCTAAGCACTTTGCGAACAAAATTAGTGCACACCCCTATATATTTTTTAAGTTTTTGTATTTTTTACAATCCGTTGGAACGGACGAATGAAATAAGAATAACTCATTTGTTATACAATATTTGTGAATTTAAAAAACGTGTCATAAGACAATCTAACCGACCGTTACGCAACTCTGTTGGTTTTATTTTTAATCCATTTGGTGATGTTACGTTTCAATTTGGATTTGTAGAAATGGTTAGCGATTGCCTAAAAATAAAAAATTTGTTAATATTACGGTACGCGCGACGTCTAATGTTAAAAATCTGTCATGCAACACCACCGTCTGTTACTTTTCATCCCTGTTAGTTTAATATTAGTTATATGTTTGTTATGTCTAATATAAATAGTAAAAATACGTTTAATAATAATACGATGTGTACAATTCATTATTCTAGCGTAATATATTTAACATTAATTTTGCTAACGCAGATGAAAACTAACAGATGGCTTGTCAGGGGTTGCCCTCTCATAGCATTTTTGTAACAACTGCTTGACCTGAAAAGAAAAGAAAAAAACATCATTGCTTTAAGCGTCTATTGGAGGCGTTAGTAGCGTGTACTGTACAATTTTACATAATATACATTAATCCACGGACATTTGCATCAGCAGAAGATTTAGTTTCATTCAGTTGCTGCAACACTACATCCGAGGCAAGGCCAAGTAATTAATTCGATCGTTTTCTTTTGGTTTTCCTAGTAAAACACCACGCCTAACGCCGCTATCAACTTGGCCTGGAATGTAAGGAGGCGGTACATATTTTTTTACTACCGTTTTAGGCTGTGCCAATAATATTGTTCTAAAATTCGCGGACCTCTTCATTTATTTTCACTCTTGAAAAGTAAGAACTGAGACATTGGACAATGTTGGGAATTTTGAAGTATTGACACTGAATGTTACTATGGTTACCAAGTAAAAAATTTGACCAGGCCGTTGTGACACATGCGTGGTGCGTGAAAAGCAAAGCAATTGCTTTGCTTGCAGCTACGTTGTTAATTCGTCACTATATCTCCATCTGGTGTTAGTGCGCACACTCGCCTACGGCCTGCACAAGATTCAATTGGTCAAAAGCTTTCACGCCTGAACATGAACGATAAGAAATAGATGTAAACTAGGCGCCCCCTGTAAGTTTGGCAGAATTGACATGAACTTTGGTGGCTGCTATTGTGAATAAAAACGAAATAGTACGTTACTATCTTAGTATTTTGCTAAATGTAATAATTTAGAATTATATAGTTTAATGCTTCTTCACCGTAAATAATTAAACTACTTTCAAAATAATTCAAATTGACCAATAGAAACCATTTAGAACGACGCAGTACACTCCGTGCCCAGAGTATTCTAAACTGCAGAAAGGTACTATTTTGACAGTGTGCGCTTCACGTCATTTTTGTTAGCCACTTTGCTCCTGGTGTTCCTGTTTTTGCTTTGTTTTACGTTCCCCGTCTCCAGTTTTACACAAACTCGTCTTTTTCAAGAGCTTGGATTTACGACATTAATATGAAATATACCTACATAAAGTGTTTTTTGATATAAAACTATACCTAACCTTATGATGAATGCAAAAATTGTTTCAGAAACCCTAAATCATGAGTTTAGAGAGAAAAGTTGTTCAATTTGAAACTCGAAATATAATTCAACAAAAAGAACCTTGTCATTGAAGTTTCCCTATGCAACCTAGTTAGCTTCCGCTGCATTTGGCATGGCGGTTCTCAATTTCAAAATTTAAAATTTAAGCAACATCTTTAAATTTATTTAACTGAAACAGGATCACAGCACCAAGAGGATGACAACAGATTATTACATGGAGGGAATTGAAAGGCTTACCAAAAGCATGCAGATTTAGCCTTTAATAACAGATCACAACCTGTTTTATGATGAACCGTTTCAAGAAAAAACAACTGGCACATCAAAGTGTATCCTTAGTCTTCCACCGACAGAAAGGGCAAAGCAGCAGAAATTGCAAAAATACAAAAAGATTGCATTGTGAATCAGGTAAATACAACATAAGAAAGAGCAAAATGAGACAAATCAACGCTCCAAGGTCAGGATATTTAGGTGTCAATTAATTAGATCAATAGTCAACCAAATTCTTTTTGTTGTACTGACAAAAAGTCTAAGAAAAACATGACGAACGTTCGCCGTAGCAAGACAAACTTGTCTCCCACACGCTCGTGAACTATCCTGTATGAGGTGACCAAGTTGTTAACATATTACATATACAGTACATTCGCACACTTTTAACCTACTATCCAGTAATCCGGATAATTCACTAATTGAACACCCCTGTCCGGGTTAAAGAGGTTGCACTGTACTCCTACAGGGTGGCATTATTGCATTCTGACGTTCACAAATGTGAAAAAGTCATTGCCACAAATCAACAACAAAAACAAATGATAAACACATTCATTAATAGTACTTTGTGTACCAAGGCGGGAAAGTGGTTGTTTTCCGGGGCGAAGGAAGATATGGCCAGGCGAGGCGCAGCCGAGGCTGGCCACTTCCTGAGGCCCGGAAAACAACTTTCGTGCCGTGGTGCACACAATATTTTTTATCCTATACACTTACATTTAAAATTAATCCCTCAACAACGTCCGACCGCAAGCGCTTGAATTTGGATTTGCTTTAACGCGTCAACGTGCACGCGTTTGTTTTGTTTATTTCCACGTTTCCTGCTGACTACGCGAAAAAAATTTTACGAAACGGTGCAATCTAAGTGGGCCCACGAGTATATTTTTACTCGTAGATTTACCTCTTTCCCTATAATACAGTTCAACGCAAATTCAAATTCTAGCGCGCTTGCGATTACACAGTGCCGAGTCACCGAAGGGAGTCACGGTGCAACAGAGCAGAGGTGCAAGTGGAGAATACCGATCATGTGCGAACTGAGTTGACATTTCCGGCATTTCACTGGCGCGTGATTATTTCCTTAGAAAATAACGGGATTTAAGGGGTTGTAATTAATACCAGGCGCATTTGAAATTATTACTGGTCTTGTGTTTTAACAAATGTGTTTTAAAATTGAATGTGTGTTTTCAGGGACAAAATCACACTTGTTACATTTTAAATCCTTGGCAGGATCCATGTCTTGTCAAATGTTAGATGCTTTTAAGACTGGATTTATGCTTGGTGACGAACACGCAATGGGCACACTTTAAATCCTTGATGATCTTGTATTTTAAAAAAATGTGTTTTATAAATAGATTTATTCATTCCTTACAGTCACACTGGACACATTTTAACTTCGGAGTAGTCTCGTATGTTAAAATGCTACTTATTGCGGATAAGCGGTGTTCTACTTACAGTGCAAAGTACATCTTGGTGTTAAATGTATTGATACAGATGCTCGTTATTGAAAGTAAATGGGAGATAAGAGATTATGACTTAAGTTTGAGACGTTTGAATTGGTCACGTGATATTGGGAAAGTATTCAAATTCACGAAACATTGATAGGTATAGGTTCGCAGTAATTAAATAAATTCTTGAATTCAGTAAAATAAAGTGAACATAGGGTAAATTTAATTATTAAATCAGTGTTGACGATTTTATGTTTCTTATTTAATTAAAAAGAAATAACTTCTTTGACATTTTATTACAACCGCGCCATCTAGCTTACATAAGGCGTATTTTTTTTCTCGCCTAGCCGACAAAATTGAATTTTCTCGCTCCATGCGTGCAATTGTCTTCTTTCGCGTCCTCACACAGGCGAGAAAATGTAAGTTTCTCCTTGTATAGGATCAAAATATTTTTTAATTACGTAAAGTAGATTACAATTTTGTTGTACTTGTGCTACAAGTGGTCCAGTGATCTAAATTTTTGAATTTATGGTTCTTCTTTTGCTGAGTCAAGTACTCAATCGCTTATAATTACATCACTTTTCAGTGTTCGTTAAACCCTAACACTAAGTAACTTACTAGTGTAACTTACAGGGGACTACAATGCAGCAAAAGTAAAACAGGATAGAAACCAGAAGGGTACTGAAAAGGAGGATAATATGGTAGAGCATAAGTATGAATCAAGAATGTGGTATTGTATATTTGAGAGATGTCAGCATATTGAGCACCACTGACACCGACGCATCTATTTACAGACATAAAAAGTAACAAGTAACACCATGATGTAAAAAATTCCATTTTCTTATAATACAATGAATTTAGTAAGAAGATAAATATTTCCACTACCTTTCAAAAGATGGAGGAACTATTATCTGTTCAGCCAACAAAAATCCTCCTGAAAAATCCCAAAATTTTCGATGAAATTTGACATGTGGATTTTTCAACATTAAAAAAAAAACAAATCCCGAGACAAATCCAAACTTTTAAAAAAACATGAAAATAAATTTCAAATATAATTCTTCACATGACAACGAAACAATTGGAATTGTGATACAGCTCAAATTACTCCAACACAAACAGAACACAGTATCATAAGAAAAATACTTCACTGTACAAAAACTGTAAAGAAACTGCTGTAAGTGTCCAACCAATTTACACATTCATCCACATTCAGCAACAATGGCGCAGTAGATGATATAGTGTTTTTTTTTTTAAATTGTACTGTGTAATTAATAATGGCTTATCACCCGCCCCCACGTGCACCAGAGCTATTCATTTGTGGCTTCCTCTTATGGAGCTCTTTAGAATCCAATCTTTACTATTGCAAATATCCTCTACTAAACAATCTGAAGATTGCAACTAAACTATCCAGAGACGATACTCTTAATGTGTACACTCTACAGTTATTGTATAAAGACAGACAGGCCGCCCAATTCATATGCTCCATGTCTGCCATGTTTTTTTCCAATTTATTGTTGAGCTAATGACAGTTATTATGATATGCATGCACTTTTTAAAAAAATTTAAAAAATCCCATTTTCTGGAAATTTGCCACTTTCTTGTTCTTCGTTATAACGGTTTTGGAGACAGTGAGGCAAGTTTGTGGAATTCCAGTTTCAACGTCATTAAAAATTTGTCAGTGAGCGGCGAGGTGAGCGGTAGTTCAGTGATCTTATTCTACTGTACCAGTTGTTAGTGAGAATTTTATATCCTGACGGTCAGTATTATAAAGCCATACTTAACTGTGTTGAGAGCTAACAGTATTTTAAGGCATGTGATTGGATGTTTTTACAAAAAATGAAGTATTGCATTACATTAATTTATTATACTATGAAGATAAAAGCAGTGTAACAGTTTGAAATTCGTGTACTATTTTTGCGCTACCCTGAACTTGAGCGATCCCGATATCAAAATGCGTTAATAAAAGTAATCGTTGCCATAGATTTTAAGTTCGACTTAACTTTAAGCTAGGCTTAATTTTGTTGGTGCAACTGGGACTTAATCAAGCTACATCTATCACCATCTCCTTAGCTTCAAAGAAGAAAACTACATACTCTACTCTACAATTACAAGTACGCCTGTGAAACAAGCTTATCTTAAGAATAAGAATAAGCACAATGATACACAAACATGAGCATTATCCTCCAATTCATTGATAAAACTGTAATGGATGTGGTAAGAAGTTAGAAAGTGAAGATGTGGAGCAAGGCTTACAGAGCCTGTCACAAGGCAAAGATCCAAAGTCCATACTTTGCTTAAGAACTTAGTAATAGCTGGATGAAACGACCGACTAGAAAGTGGCAGTACAATGCAAGCAAAGAAAAATTCAAAACACTCCAGACCTACAACTAGTAAAGTCTCTTTCGCATAAGCTGAGCTTATTTGACCAACAAATTGTTAATAATACCAAACGCAACTCACAATGATTAAGGCATGGGTGGCACAGTGATTTTATAACATTTATAACAGTACTAAATTAACAAAACAAAATTCAAAAATAAATACTAAATCAAAAGCCTTTCACAGGTCTATTTTCGGAAATTGAACCATACTGTTTGGGTGTACCTTTAGTGGGAGTAATTTTTTTTTCATTACCTTTATCTCTGTTTGCTGGAAATGTGGAGGGGTAGTAAGTTGTGCACTGACACGATACTTACCAGGTTGTTGTTGAGTGATAGCTTGTGAGGTTTGAGGTTGCGCAGATGTTCCGACAGCGCCAGTCATGCTGGCACCTTTCTGTTTTAACATCGTCCAGTCAAAAGTGTAGTCATACTGATGATTTAAAGTACGGAACAGTATACGAAATAATTGTCTTAAATACATGTAATCTGGTGCCTCTTCGAATCGAAGACCGCGACAATAATTTAGATACATAGAAAATTCGGCGGGGAAACCCTAAAATCTAAGTAATTAGCCGCAAGTTTAGCGAGTTTCCCAAGTTTACCTTGCACAATACTTCGACGGGTGTGGACATTTTCTTTTCGCTGATTTTTTCGTACTTCTGTTTCTTTGTGGCTGCTTTTAAACCTTGCCATGGTAAACAGCCTCTATTGAAATACATTAATACATAACCGAGACTTTCCATATCGTCTCTGCGCGACTGTTCGATGCCAAGATGTGCATTGATGGACGCGTATCTCGCCGTTCCGGTAAGATTTTTATCTTCGCGATATGCGATGTGACACCTAGTCCGTGCATCTCTATATTTCTTCGCCAAACCGAAGTCGATGAGGAACAATTTGTTGCAATGTCTACCAATTCCCATTAAAAAATTATCGGGTTTTATATCACGGTGAATAAACGATTTACAGTGAACATATTCTATACGACCTATCATTTGATCTGCAAGCATGAGGACTGTTTTGATTGTGAAACGACGTGAACAAAAATTGAATAAGTCTTCGAGGGAGGGACCCAAAAGATCCATAACAAGGACATTGTACTCTTTTTCTTGACCATAGTATCTGAAACAAAGAAAACTGGATTAGTTTTATGTCGTAACAGGATCAAACAAACATTATTAGTAAAAATCTTTTTCTATCATAAATATGTATCATTTTTACAATTATTTTCGTTCTTGGTATATTGGTGCATGCAATTTTTTTTATCTTTTTAATTTTTCTTGTTTTGAGAAATGTATCAATCGTCTATCTAAGTATATTAAATTTTGTTTTTCGTTCCACATCATAAGGTAACTATAATAATTACTTACAGTTAATTATTTATTTATGAAAAATAACGTTAACATGAAATGTGCGCGACTATTAATTAAAGATAAATGAGGTCAAAAACCATAATTTCACTTCAAATATTAAGTTGTTTCGTTATTAACGGTACATTGTTACGTTTAAACGGGCGCCATTAAAAAATTCAAAATGTGATTAATTTCAAAGGGTACGCGTATGTAGAGACATTACTTTTGTCCAATAACCTGAGATCAATGTGCATTATAAGGTCGTATGTAATTGGAGCGTAGGTGGAAACCCACCTGATTTTGAGTAATGCGATTGAAATTGATTTTGCTCCGATGAAAATTCAACAGCAACTTTCTTAGTCGTACTTTGATTTGCAGCTTTGACAATGGCGAAGAAAATGATACACAATATCCTAACTTACATTATGAAGAGATAGTGTTGTATCATAATAAACTTTGATAAATTAATACAAACAATTAATGCAATTATTTACTGCGTTATTAACTTATAAAATAGACTAAGTAAAGGAATAATCATAACATTAGTATTGCAAACTATAATGTAATGTAATACAAATACTTCAGTAGACATTTCCTCCTTTTTTGGCAATCTTGTCAACAACGAATATTTCCAATGGAAGGAAAACGAAAAAGTTTTTTTTGGCAAAATAATGGAAATATGCGTGCCATGTACATTTCTCGCAACCGTCACCATAAAGCCTACTTCCTCGTAAGGAATTGAGGCGAATAAATTCCGAACGTTATTCCCATTCAAATCAAGTTTTGTGAATCCTAATTCTTAATGCGACAAGAGTAATAAAAAAAATTGCGTTCGGAAGTAATTTAACGGTCGGTTTTCGAATGCATTAATAGAGCCACTTAAATGTGAGGAGGGAAAGGTGGATTAGATAATATCCAAGCTTGGTTTTTAAAGGAAACCCTATAAACGTTTTAGTTAAATGCTTTTCAATCAATAGTCGTCGAGATAATCCTGGAGGTGGGAAATAAAGAACACGTGGGTAAACGTAACTTGACCACCTACAAATACACAAATTTCTTGACGATGAAATTCTTACCAGCCATTTTACATTTACCAATTCCGTTAGCAAGTGTATATGAAACACTTTTCTGCTGAAAACGACGTTCGGATTACGTAAACCTAAATGAGATCGATTTATATTTAAACTACCAATCATGAGTTAAATCTGTACAATACACATCAGAAGCTTTCAATTAACAACCAAAGAACAAAAAACTTAAAAAGTACAAAATAACAAAAACAAAAAGGAAGAAAATGTACAATCAAATATGAAGATTTAAACGAAAAACCTTAGGAAACCGTGGGCCAAGTAGAAAGAATAATGAGTGCTTCCAGTGCATCAGTAAATTTGGTGAAACTAATTTTAACTATGCGTACAATTGGATTTTGGTAACCCCACGCTACTAGGTACTGAATTATAACGTGCATAACAGGCCGACGCACATGCTTGCGCTTCCTTCCATGAGCTACGCTAAACATGCTACTCGTTTTTGGCTTCCTAGCTTGAACTTCTTTAAAGTCCTACAAAAAAACCAATGACCGTCTATAAAACTGTGTATTGCTATCGCGATGGATTCTACATACAAAGTGCTCTAAGTAAGATATTCCCAAAATCAATCATCTTTAACAACAATAAAGAAATCGACTAAATTCGAGAAACGCCCCTTAGCGGCCAAACGATTAGTGATAGCTGAATTCTGTTTGCGCCAGAGATTTTCTTTTTAAAATTGAACTCCAGATACCAAAGACCTAAGTCTTTTTTTTTCTATCTCTTAAAATAAAGGGTGCTTCCATAAGAAAGTGTCCTATTTGGACCACCGTGTACATATGTACGTCGATTTTTCGAGAGAACGGGTCGGCCGAACTTGTCCAAATTTTGAATAAGTATATTAAGCATACGGAAACAATGAATAACGGGACGGATTTTTGGGAGAAAAATTGATTGAAAATGAAGCGTAAAATGGGGGTATAAAAATGTTCTCATGTGGAAGAAATGAAGTATTTGGAGAATTATGACAATAACTGCAGTGCGAATATTGGAAAACTCCATATCTACGTTTAGGGGTGACATCTATGGGTTACAATTTTAGACATTTTTAATTAGTAAAGGTCGTAATATTAGAAACCTAGGTCAGTCTTTCAGTTCTATTCGTATATTTCTTCTATTTGTCGAGACAAAAATTAAGGAGTAACCTAAATTTGGGTCCTTAGTTCCTAAAGAGAAAGGAAACGCTTTGGACACTTAGACAGCCAAGTTTCAATCTGTAAATTACATGTATTTCTACATGTTAGACGTACCGACTTGTTTTAACCTTTGAAACATTCTGAAAATGATTTACAGTATTGTAACGGAGATTCCAGAAATTTCCATAGGCATCGAGCGCCATGAAAGATTAGTCATCGGCGATAAAGAACGAAGGTAGATGTGACATAACAAAGAAATATACTTATCCGTTGCCCCGAATAGATGACACGCTAGATACGGTAACGGGTGCTAAATGATTTTTCATTCCAGATATGGAAAGCGGCTACTGGCAAGTTGGTCTGAACATCGCGAGAAGACAGTCTTTAGCATAGGGTCGGGTCATGCCTTTTGGTTTGTGTAACGCCCCAGCCACGTTTGAGAGATAATGGAATTGGTCTTGAGATGTTTGCCCTGGAAAACAGACCTTGTGTATTTGGACGACGTAATTGTGATTGCTCGAACGTTCGGAGAACACCTTAAGAATCTCGCCGTGCCATAATCTGTGGCGGTGCTAACCCCAACTTAATACAAGGAAGTGCAACTTTTCCAAAAAGAAGTGAAACACCTTGGTCATCTGGTTTCGAAGAATGGAGTGACAGTGGATCAAATCCAATTAATTCGAACTTACGTACCCCATTAATAAATGGGTTTCGGATTGCGATATAGATAAAACAAAAAAATTCCACTCAATAACATTTTTCGCAAAGCTCGATGTAGCAAAAGTGATATAATCTCAATGCCAATACAGGAAATCAAGAAAAACACTTAACTGATTTGATTTGCTGATAAAAACAATGGTCAATTATCTAATCCGGCAAGCCTAGACTTTAAAATGGAAGTTTTAATTCAAACATTATTTACATAAATTCACTGTCTGGAACATCCAAAGTTTTATTTTATTTTATGCTGCACGGAAAGAATTTTCTCCCCCTTCATAGACCAACAAAATATTGTGGAAGCGAAGCGCCCAAAACGGAATTTAATCATCGGAATTGCGCCGATTTAAATCATAATTTGACTAAAGATTTAAACCGGTATATTTTCAATTGTTCGTTGTTTTTAATCACTAATTATAGAAACGCGCTCACTATTGTTTAAAACACTAATTTTCCTGTTTTTCTTTCCTTCTAATTTGTTTTTCAATTTTTAAAGGACTAATATTAGAGTAGGTACCAAGTTTAGTCATCTACTTTTAATTTCTTATTCCATTTATTTATATTAAGAAATTAGAGAAATTAACGCAAACGCAATACGTACAGACTGGATTATACCAACCCATAAATAAATAATCATGATACAGATAAACTTAGTTTGATAAATTGTACAAGGGGGTACGTTGGAAATCATTTTAGGGGCTTATTTTTATCGACGGAATATCCATGCTTGCTGAAAGATTATGTTCACTGTCTTCTCATTCCATATGACATAGAAAGTAGTTTCAACAAGATGGGATAGTCAGGTTTTGTAACGGACAGAAGTACTTGTATGAATAGATATAAAAAATACTCCTTTTCAGTTAATACTTTTAAATATTTAAAAAACATAAGGTCAATTCCGAAGTTTGATGTTTAGTTACTTGAAGTTGGCGAGATTCAAGGCTCGATTCAAGGCCCTTTTTATAAACATTGTAAAGAAAACTAACTTATCCGCATACTGTCTCTTTTGAAAATAAAAATAACGACCTGTTCAGAAAGATAGAAATAAAGTCGACGACTGTACAAGTTAATTGGCATTACGAAAAATTGATAAGGCATCAAAAACAGTTCTATTAGTACGGCTTATCAAAAATACAAAATATAACGTTTCATTTAAAAAAACATATCGACATACACGCCCACTTTTAAGGAACACCTTGTGTGCCTCAAAATAGTAAGTTGTAGGTTCTCGCCTTCTCACAAAACTTATGTTTAATATATTGTTCTCTCGATCCTTTGGGCGCTGTAGATACATTCTCGAACAAAATATTAGATATAATACCTAATAACACATACTAGTAAAAAATGATTTTTTAGCTCCATTCATTCGCACTGCACACACGATTCTACAAATTAATTCACTTCCCTTTCGAATTTGTGTACTAAGCGTCGACGAGGGCAAATTAATCAATTCATGAGACGCTATCCCGTCTTTTTCCGGGAATCGAGAATGGAAGATGGAAAATGTAACGGCAAACATTATGCTAATTGACAGGCGATGACCGTAGTACTTTCCCATCGTTCATCGTCATGAAATCGCATTACCAAAATGCATAAGCAGATGGTGGTAACTCAGTTAAAAATACGATTCCATTTATAGGAAGTGCACAATAAGCCACAAAACTTCCAATGGCGGGGGAGTTTATCAACCTGTACGTAACCTGAAGGTAAACGAATAAATGCGACGCCCTTTGGTTTGTGTATACATAATTTTCCAAGTACCTAGGTAATAATCATTTTAATAACATAATTTTTACAACCGATAAAATGTAATAATATTAAACTTGCAT